TGGAACGACCAGACCATAGCAGCTTCTAGCTGAATACCACTGAGCAACCCAGTACATGATCCTTGGAGAAGGATCACCTAGCCAAGCACTGCTTGAATTCCTAAACGACAAAATTACGAGATAAGTAAAATGTTGGTTATCTTAACCACTAAACTTTGAAATTGCTTGTTATATAACAATAGATAACTGAAATAATCCTTAATTTATACAAACAGATTTTATAAATTGATTTAAAAAAAGCCAAATATCTCAGTTGAGAGAGAGAGAGAGAAAATATTAACAGGCAATTGTCTTAGTCCACATGGACTGCTATAGCAAAATACCATAAACTGGGTGGCTTATAAACTTCACAGTTCTCACAGGCTGGGAAGTCTAAGATCAAGGCACCAGAAGATGCAGTGTTTGGTGAGGGCCGCTCTCTGCTTCATGGATGGTGCCTTCGAGCTGTGCTCTCATATGGTAGAAGGGGGCTAGCTAGCTCTCTGGGGCCTCTGTCATAAGGAGGGCTCCGCCCTCATGACCTAATCACCTTCTAAAGTCCACACCTTCTATTACCATCCCCTCAGAGATTAGGATTTCAAAATATGAATTTGGGGGAAACATACACATTCAGGCCTTTGCAGCAATTTATGGTAGAAATACAAATGGCCATTAAATATATATAAAGGTTTTCAAACCTGCCAGTAAGCAAATTAATGAGATTTCTCTTTTTTTTTTTTTACCAACTGGAAAAATTAAGGCAGTCCAATTCTGATAAGGCTGTAGGGAGTTAAGCACTTCCCTATATAATTTATGGAAATGGAGATTGGCAATCTGACAATAAGATACTTGGAAAGCCTTTTTAAGTAGAGTAAAAGAGTAAGAGAGTAATAATTAGATTGCATTAAAGTGTAAACTATCTCCAAGACAAAAGAAATACCATAACTAAGGCAAAATGCATATTTGTCAGTGGCTTATCTACATTGGTGTTTATTTCTTGCTTAAGTCTCTATGCAGCGCAGGTGAGCATGTAGTCTCTCTCACCATGGTCGTCACAGACCCACTTTCTTACATCTGGTACCTCCACCAAACCCAAGGCTCAGAGCCCTCCATGGGATTTTTGCATACAGGCACAGATGAGAAAACAGTGAGAAGGATCATATGACAAGTTTCAACACCAGGCCTGGAAATGGTGCAGGTCACCTCCATCGTGAGCATGTAGTCTCTCTCACCATGGTCGTCACAGACCCACTTTCTTACATCTGGTACCTCACCAAACCCAAGGCTCAGAGCCCTCCATGGGATTTTTGCATACAGGCACAGATGAGAAAACAGTTAGAAGGATCATATGACAAGTTTCAACACCAGGCCTGGAAATGGTGCAGGTCACCTCCATCCATATTCCACTGGCTAAAACAATGCTATGGCCCCATCTAACTTCAGGGAGGTTTTTAAATGTAGTTGAACCATGTGCTCAGGAGAAAAAGGAAATGGAGTTAGATAAACATAATAGCATTTTCTCAGTCATAATAAACAAATTTGTCAACTAGAAGATTTAGCAATACAAATAGATAAAAGGCCAATTTCCTTAATATACAAAGAGCACCTATAAAGCAATAAACAGAAAAACATTATAGAAAATTTCTATAAAAAATTAAAATCAATTCAGAGCAAAGGAGATGTAAATGGCCAATAAACCTATGAACAAATTATCAACATCACTCATAATTAAATACATATTTAGATAATAAAATGTTATGTTTTATCAAATTTATTAAAATTTTCCGAAGTTGTATAATACTTGGCATTGATGAATATGTATGTGGGTTAAAGACACCCTCACAAACCACTGATGCAATTGTAAATTGGTACAATGTATTGGAAGGCAATTTGGCTACGAATTTCAAAATATATAGGCATGTAACCTTAATACTTTAATTTTACTGTTAGGAATTTATGTTATCTGCAAGGTGGGGTGTCCAGTTTTCCCAGGACAGTCCAGGCCTACAGGGACACTTCTGTTGTCTCAGCATCCTCTTTTATTTTCAGAAGTTTCCAACTTTAGATAATAACTTTTATGACAATAGTGATGGCGATATATATCATGTGTATATAATTATTTCATAATTACTTGTAATAGCAAAGCACAAAAAACTTTCTAAAAGCCGATCAATAGTGGATTATATACTAGAGTTTAAAAATAATAATGTACCCATTCAGTGGAGTGCTATAAAGCTATTAATGACAGCCACTAGATTTATTTTCCCCACACACCCTCCCATAAACCATAGAGTACAAGAAGGAGAACAAATAAACACTTACAACCTACTCCTACAGCACACCTATCATACAGAGAAAATAAAGTACACACCCATGACCACCAGACTTGGCAGAAACCACGTGGAAAAGCAGAGTATGGACGGTCCCAAAGGGAGTAAAACCCAGAGAAAACCAACAGGTTTTATTCCCCAAAGGAGAGGGTAGCACTGTGAGTGGGAGCTACTGAGAGCTAATATGACCCAAGAGGGTCTGAGAGCTGAGAATAGCAGAACCAAAGTGACTTGGAAAGTACTCCTTGGGGGCAGTGTTGGTACTGAGTGGGCACTGCGTTTAGGAGAGAATGAAGGAGGCTGTGGAATCCCTCGCTATGGTCTGAATGTTTGTCCCCTGTAAAATCCATGTTGAAATTTAATTGCCATTGTAACAGTATTAAGTGGTAGGACCTTTAAGAGGTAGTTAGGTCAGGAGGGCTCCACCCTCATGGGTGGGATGGGTGCCATCATAAAAGCGAGAGTTCAGCCCCACTTCCAGTATGTGATGACCCAGCAAGAAGGCCCTGGACAGATGCCGGCACCATGAGGTTGATCTTCCAGCCTACAGAACCGTGAGCCAGTAGATTTCTGTTCATTATGAATTACTAAGTCTCAGGCATGCTGTTATAGCACAAAACAGACTAAGGCATCCTTGGAGAGAGAGTCTGGTGCTGAAGGTAAAGAAGAAAGCAGCCAGTGACAAGGGACCTCCTACAGTGAGACAGTATTAAAGAATTCAGAAATCCAGCACACACACACACACACATACTACATTATTATATATAGTATATATACTATATAATTATGTATACTATACTATCACACCATAACAATATATAATACTGTGACATGATTATTTCTACTTCGTATTTGAATTATTTTTACTTCATATTTGAGTATTACATTACAAGTTTCCTCTATTTCATGGTGGGTTTTTGGTGCCTGGCTAGGACTGGGATCTGAACCCTTCACCTTGATGGTATCGACACCCAGTTCTAACCAAGTGAGCTAACCAGCCAGGGCCTGGATGCAAGGATCTTGAAGGTGTTTCCACTCGCTGAAGTTTAGACAGTTTAAGCATCAAAAGGAACAATAAACAACAGGGAGACAGGAGAGGTCCTGCGGTAATGGAAATGTGTATCTTGACATGATCAAAAGATGTCACTACTGGGGAAACTGGGGAAAGGGTGCACGGGCTCTATTATTTTTTACATCCACATGTGAATCTATAATTACCTCAAAATAAAAGGCTTAGTTAAAAGAACAATAAGTGCAATTGATTGGGGCGCATTTAGATGCGTAATAATCCATGAGGCCCATACAGTCTCCCTAGTCCCGCAGTGGGCAGCACTCCCGGACGCCACTTTCTGCCCCAGGCCGTCAGCGTCTCTTTTACATTAGTTATTTTTTAATGTCTTTGCTGAAGTCTGGGAAACTTACTAAGATCTGTATCTCATTTTAGAATTTTTCTTTCGTTTTGTCTAATCTACTCTAAAGTTTATTTCTGAGCTTCGCATTTTAGGGGGAGTTTTTCTATTTCCAGAAGTCCTGCTTGCTTGTGTTCTTTCCTTACTGTTTCTGCACCTGCACCTGTCTGCTTTAGTCATTGTTTATTCATGCAGAGAGAGGATGCCTTTTTCACACTCTGATTTGGAGGAGCTTCACCTCCAGTTTATAAACCGTCCACTCGAGCCTGGGGCCTGGACAGGCCCTCACATTCACACCTCTGTGCTTTTCCAATCCCACTCCCCATACTTCTGATAGTAAAATCTCATTCCCCAAAGCCTAAAATGTTACTTCCTCTCTGACTTCCTGACCGTATAGAAAGAGTTACTTCCCTACTTTGTCCCCACAGTATTTTAAATGTAAGCACATCGATTACACTTCACTTGTTTATCTCCACTTCAGACAGAATTCCTTAAGGCAAAGAGCAATTATCTTTTCATACCAAACTATTATAATGATGCCTGCTCCTTACTAGTACCAAGTACTTTAGCACCTTAATACGTGCTCAAAAAGCATAAACTTAGTTTCTAACACTACACAGTAAACCTCCCTACACGAAATTGGAAGCTCAGTCGCAGGCTTTCCCTTGGGAAACGTGTCCTGATGTACTAATAGAATCTTTCCCCAGGAAACCACCTGTACACTTAATTTTGCATTCATTTCAGATTGTTCATGGACCCTACAACCAAACTCCACCTCCTCAACAAACATTGTGGCTGGAATTGAGTTTCCCTTCTCACAAAACAGGAAAGTGGGCACAGCAGAGAGCGGTCAGCCTGTGGCTACACAAAATCAAGTTCTAGTACTGGCTCCTGCACTCAGCATAAGTTAATTCTTAAGCTCCAAGACTCAATTCCCAATTTTTAAAATGTGATGAATACTTACCTACTTTGCTTATTTGTTTTGCTTTACTGCAAACTGATAAAACACTAGAACAATGCACAGAAATTTATTTTAATTAAAACTTGTGTCACACAACTGGCATGGAATCTCCCATCACTATGTCACGAGAGTGAGGTCGTGCAGATGTCCTTGCCTGTCATGGAACAGGAAAGGTAGTGTTCATAATTCAAACACTTGCAACATGGGAGTTTGTACTTAAAAGTAAAGTCCAAATTTTTTAAATGTTCTATACAATTCTTTTTCAATTCATTCACAGTACTATTTAATCTTAATCTTTATAAGGTGAAATGAATCAACAGGTTCATGGCAAGCACAGGATCAGAATTCACTTTATTTTCATTTCTTCTGTATTCTGTACTCTTTGTAAACATACTCTGCAGACTGTGCCTGATACATAGCAACCAAATAAACTTCTTTTCATTAATAATGGCCATTAACTTTAGAATGTAAAATGAATTATAAACTACTACCTCCCAGCTCAACTCACATCAACTGATAAACCAATACAATGAAAAATAGGCTTCAGAGTTTTCTCCAGAGATTTAATGCAAGATGCAGTGTACCCATATTCCATGAAATGTGGTTACCGGTCAGGGGATTACAGTCCTACTGAACCAAACAAATAAAAGTATTACAACACAGCTAAATGCCTTATACAGATGTACTTATCTTCTTAATTGCTATAACATAGCTTGATAAATAAGGTTGTCTTTTGTGCTTTTCCTACTTTAGGGGATTATATACTTTAAATATAGATGAGACAAAAAACTGATTTAAGAGTTCTAAGGATTATTTTTACTACAGACCATTTTTTATCCCAACTTAGATGGGAAGACCCAGACTTTGGTATAAATAACTTATTTGCATGATGATATTTAATGAATATTGTTAGTGTTCACTGTCAGCTGTGCAGTCTTTTGGTAAGGGGGTAGCTAGAGCCTCTTTACTTTCAGTAAGTGCTCTGGGCTGATGGATAAACACACTAAATTTAACACCCTGGTTGTTTGCAGCTCTGACAAAACCACTATTGGCCGTCATTGTGATGGCTTTTAGGGTGTCTCCTGTCCCAAAAATCGTTAATGAGCGACTATTAATTTTTGAACTGGCCACTAGTCTCAAGGCACGCGCAGAAGGCTGGTCTGGCACTACACTAATTCGCTTAATTAGCAAAGTGGCCCTCTCTTTCTCCCCAGGTCCTCCTAAAGTATCTAGAATAGACCGAAAGTCCTTGACAGCAGATTCACAAGCAAACAACTCCTTGTCCTTCATGAACGCCTCCAGCTGAGGCAGAACCTGTTCCTTCCTCTCTTGCTCTGCTTGTTCTGTGAGCACTTTTTCTCTGAAGACAAAGTGGCAGCCTCCGTAGCTGAGGGCAGATACGTATGTGATTAAAGTAGTAATGTCTAGATTCACTCTTTTGCACACATCGACCTTAATCTCTGTTGGAAATGCAACACTTGCTAGTATGTTTTCCCTGTCCACTCTGGTCCCCTGCAAAAGTTCAGGGCCCTCCTCATCCGATTCACTCTCACTCAGCTGGAGCTCTTCAGGGTGCTCTAACAGAGAGTTGACTGCTACTATGTCTCCTCTCACAGATATGCCCATCTCTTTCAGCTTCTCTGCCATGGGGCTGGAGACACCATTGTAAAATGCAAAGATGATGTGAGGGTTGCTATACTGCACTGGCTGCTGGAGGCTGGCCTGGAGGAAGTCTGCAGCCTGCTCAATGATGCTCTTGTCCCCATACTGGCCCCTGCCCAGCCAGATGTTATGCAGAGCCTCAGCCTTCCGGCCGATGGCTTTCACCCAAGTATGGCCACCATTTGCAACTACATCCACCACCAGGGTCTGCTTTTCTCCCAAGGTATCTGTGTAACCAAACACGTGAAGAACACTAACGACTCCTTCCAGGTTTTCTGCTGAGTCCACAATGGCTCTCAGGTGTGTGAGATTAGTGCTCTGTAAATGGGATTCCTTAATAGCAACCTTCCCAGCTTCTACTTTCTGTAAGAATTTCAGTTCTGCCTTCAACTTGCTGCACAGCTTTGCCCCACCTTCTATGCCACCTTTCCTTGATCTAGACAGTGCTTCCGCTCTCTTGATCAGCTCCTTGGCTATGGCGATTCGTTCACAGAGCATGGAGTGTGCAGACATTCTGACAGCATTATTCCTTTCCTGTGAAAGAGAAACGGGCAAATTTAAACGGTCCTCCAAAATCACGACAACCAAGCCTTCACTGAAGCTGAAGAACTTCACTGTAGCAGCTGAGCTCATGGAGGCTGAGTCTGTGAACCTGCAGGTCTGACTCTGGAGTGACTCCCTCCTCTCGTAGCTACGGGAAGGGCGGCTGCTACACTCCTGAGCCCTTCTTCAGGGACGCTGGACTCTGACACACGGTAGACCTTGAAGGCCGTGGGGTCCACAGCATGTGCTAGGCTGGGCTCAAACGCAGGGGGCGCGCAATCAGCTACTGAAGGGAGTCCCTGTGTCTACCAGCAGCCTAACTGCTCGGCTGTACAGAAATTTTCGGAAAGGGCTCGGAAAGTCGAGATAAAATGCTAACGATAAAAACATCCGCAGAGACCAGCAGGTTGGCAAACTCGGCCGTGCAGCCAGAGCCTCGCCTCGGGCGCCTCCCGTCCCGCGGGCCGCGGGGAGTACTCAGCAAGGCGCGGCGCGGGGTACTCACCAAGGCTGGGCCCGCG